CCCCAATCCTAATATGTACTATCACATCTTCCAAGCTCATTTGCTTCCGCTTATGTTTCATACTATTCTTATAATCTCTCCATGAATCTAGAAGTTACTCAATTAAACAGCCAGCCACAAAAGTTTTAGGAAGAATTATTTCTTCATTTATCAAATCATTTATCATCATTTATCAATAAATGATAGTCATGAACTTGCATGAATACCTCTTTTTCTTCTACCATTTTAAAGTATAGGAAGTTTCCTATAGCATATTTTTGTGATACAGCATCCTCAACAACATATTTCTTTTTCAGGATTGTCCATATCTCATGTGCAGTCTTATAAGCGCAATAAACATCATAAAACTCATTTGATAATATGCTGAGAATAGTATGACGACATACCTTATTTCCTTTCTTCCATGTATCAAGTTTTTTGTCAAAATTGTCCACTCCAGGTTTTGGTTCTTCTGTTGAGAGATACTCTGCAAAACCGAGCACATCCAAGGAGTCGAATACTTTTTCTTGCCACCTCTTGAAATGAGCTCCGACAAAATGCTCAATTTTGTAGATGTCGAGAAGTGATTTGGCAGTGAGAATTGCAGCGTCCATCTCGAAAATTTTTGATCTTAAGATTGTTGAAATTTTAATAATAATAAGCAACAAAATAGCAGCAGCAAAACAGTGAAAGAACAGTAACAAAACAGTAGTAAAACAACAGCAATACAATAGTGAGAATAATAGGAAAAATAGCAGTGAGAATAGCAGGAAAACAGTAGCAATATAGCAGTGGGAATAGCAGAAAAAATAGTAACGAGACAACAGTGAGAATAGTAAGAAAACAGCAGCAAGACAACAACGAGAATAGCATGAAACCAGCAGCTAAATAGTAATGATACAACAGTGAAACAGCAATGAACACTGCGGCGAAACAACAACGATGCAGCAGCGTCAAGGCATGCAAAAGCATTGTCCTTAAGATCAGAATTCCGCCTCTTTTGGAAGAATCTTCGTGGTGCAAAAAGACTCAATAGCGGACTGACCTCCAGGATACAATGACGAATCTCTTTTTAGAATGCACTCTCTAAGAGAGATTTAGAACGGTATGAGATAAAATAGAAGTGGTGAAGGAGAGCTGGAGGTTATAAAAATGTAGAGGCAAAATGAATTCTCTCAAGTAGGAAAATTGTCTCTGCATAAAGGAGAATAAAACACCCTCTTTTATACTTTCTTTTATACTTGCCTCTTACATGTAACAACCATTTTTTTTTTTAATTATTAAGATTGAAATTGCCCAGCCTTTATAATAGCCATTTTTAATTAAAAAAATGAAACTGTCCAGCCATGATTTGATTTGTAAAGTAACTGAAGAATTGCAATTGCATTCAAGTTATAACAGTCCAAAATTTTAATTACATTCAAACCATAACAGTCCAAAAATTTAATTAAAAAATTATTATTATTTTTTTTTATAAATTTCATTTAGATACATCTTTTGACATAACATTAAAAAAAATGTTTTTAAGAATAATTAAAAAAAAAAAAAAAGTAAGAACACAAAATCTATTAAATGGTCATATACTTCACAAACCAAATAGACTTATGTTGGGCCTTTTCATCCATTAAGCCCACAACCAAAAAAAGCCCAAAATCAAATAAAGAAAATAAAATTGAATGGTTGAAGAAACAATAAGTTATCAATATATCACAATGGCAACCTAAACCCCATTGGCTGTGTTTGTTTTATTAATTTGAGTAGTATTTTTTAAAAAGTTGAGTTGGGTTGTTATTATGAGGATAAAAATTTGAAAATTAACAAAAACACTTCCTAAGTTTGTTAATTTAGCTAAATACCTCCTATAATAAAACATTGAAAATTAACAAAAATACCTCCACCCACCCATTAAATACTGGTAGTCGGCCACTACTGCCGGAGGATGACCGAGGGGTGTTTTTGTTAATTTTTAATGTTTTATTGTAGAGGGTGTTTAGCTAAATTAACAAACCTAAGGGGTTTAAAAATAGTTGAATATAATATGATTGAATTTTGAAAATAGGGAAATAAAAATGTATTTTGGGTAGGATAGAGAAACAACGCAGCCATTTGGGCCCCTTTGGTTCACTATTTTTACCCTATCATATCCATTCCTATCCAACTACACATTTGTTTCAATATTCAACATTCTCTTCAAAATACAATACTCAAAATATTTAGATTATTTTAACCCCTTGGGTTTGTTAATTTAACTAAACACCCCCAATAATAAAAGTATATAAATTGACAATAACACCCCCACCAACCCACATTTGCCAGATTTTGACCACCACCGTTGGAAGGTGACTGGAATTTGCCATAATGGCGCACTATCGACGTCAATATGACATTTTCTGGCTAGATCTACAGTTGCCAGATCTGGCCAGAGTTTTTTGCCGTTGACGACGACCATATCTTAGCCGTCGTTTGGCTGTCAACGACGACCAAAAGATGTAGCCAGATTTGGCCGTCGGTCATAGATCTAGCCAGATTTGGCTGTCGGTCATAGATTTAGCCTTATCGGTGCACTATCGGCCATATCCAGCCGGTAGTGCGCAATTACAATAGATTTTGGTCGCCTTCTGGCGGTGGTGGCCAGAATCTGGCAAATGTAGATAGGTGGGGATGTTTTTTTTAATTTATAAACTTTTATTGTTGGGGTTATTTAGTTAAATTAAAAAATCTCGGGGGTTACAAATAATTTAAATATTGTTAGAAAATGCTGATAAAAAAAGTGCAAAAAACTTTTCATAATACTGTTCAACTCAACTTTTTTCAAAAGACAATTTTAAAAACTCTCAAAATAGTAAACCAAGCCAAATTATTTCTATTGAAGTGGATAAGAAAAAGAAAAAGTAATTAAATAAAAAAGATATTCCATTTGTTTGTTAATAAGAAATGTTGATTATGTGTTAAGGCTCTAAAGTGGTTGGTTGAATTATTTGATTAGTCAAAGATAAGAGAGATTATTATTTTAATTTGAAACTTTTGACTGTTTCTTCAAACTTAATGTCTAAGATTAAAAGTATATTCAAGAGGCAATTTCCCTTTGTACAAATGATGTAAGAAAAGTGACGTCACTTTACCCACAATTATCAATGACAATACAATATAATATTCCTTTTTTTTTTTTTGTTTGCTCTTTTAATAAACCAAACCAGTTTGACTGAATACTTACCCACTTGAGACTTTTGAAACCTAAGAAATAAATAATAATATAATATCATTAACCATACTAATATTATGACCCATTAAATAAGGAAGTGTAACGCTATTAAACTCTATGAAAGAACTTAAATTTATTTTATTTTATTATTTTAAACATATACAAGGTGACTTTTTTTTTTTTTGACATATTTTAAGAAAAACGTTTTTTTCTTTTAAATTCAGTAACTTGATTGAAATTTGAAAGAAAAAAAAAAATCGATATGGGTCTTATATTGTAGTAAGTAATCAAATAATGATTCTCATACGAAGAAATAATATTTTTTTTTAATAAGCGTATTTTAGTTTTAAATAGCAACTTACTATTTCAAGTTTATTTTCTTACCATAATCCAATTAACATCTATGTTAGTCATATTTATAAAATCTACCAAATTAGGTACATATAAATTATTTCTGAAAAAATATTAAAAGAAACAAATGTATCAAGTCATTCGTAAATTTATTAAATAAAATCACATGCATTTATTTATTAATTTGAATGTCGTTATTTAATCATTCCTTTAGTTGATTAATTTCGAAATATAAGAAAACCTATAATATATGTTTTGTATTAAAGATGTAATGAACAAATATATGTCAGTCACATAAATTTTTATTAGCAATTATCAATCAAAAAGTTGGCATAAAATAGTTCTATTATATATCTTTTTTTATTTAAGAACTCTTCTTAGACAAAATACATATGATATTCATAAAATGGCACCCACTCAAATCAGTGCATACATAATATAGAAATATTAAATTCAATAACAACTAATCATATGAATTAAATAAAAAAAATCAAGGCATGCAAAACGCTTATATATTCAATTTAAAAACGACCAATCATATTAATTATAAAGATAAATAAAGAAAAAAAATCATTTGTAAATAGTTAGTACTCTTGTGTGATTGTACTGCTGGTAGTATTCTCTTTCATCGTTCTCTTTGTTGATCTTTCACTCTTTTTGTGAATCGCGTACAAAAATAAAAGAAATTTTATATTAGTTTTATAATACAAGAGTTTGTTAGTTGGAGGGTACGTTTTCGTATGACCTTTTCTAATGGAACTTATTAGAGTAGAGTTTATTATTGTAGAGCTTTTACTACAAATTTATTAATTGCTTGTCTTAAATTATTAATAAAAATGCTTTAATATATAATATATATAGTCAAATTTATAAATAAATAAAAAAGTATAGGGATATTTTTAAAATTTTAATAGTTTAAATAAGTTCAAAAAGAGTTTATAGAAGCTTAAATTATGAACTTTTCATAATATACGAAGAATAGTTTATTTTAAATTTCATAAGTATTTTTGAGATATAACCAAACAACGTAAAAATATTTAAAAAAGTGTTTATATAAAGTTTTTATGGTTAGTAAATAAGTTCAACCAAACATACTCTTGTTTATCATAAGTATTAAAAAGAGAGTTAAACAGTAAGAATTTATTTCATTTTTTCCCACTATGAGATCATTTAGCATTAACTCATCTTTTCCGTTCAAAAAGTATCAAATTCTCCCTTATTAAGGGGTTTTTATAATTGGTTTAGGGGTTTTTTTGATAATAATGGATGTATTTTTAATATTTTTTTAACTCACAGGGGGAAAAATGATATAGGAAGAGAGTGTTGGGAGTGATTTTACTTTAGATTTGCACTTTCTCACAATTAACCTCACTCCCACACTAATCTCAGCTACTCACTAGCTCACCCAACCAAACCCGCCACCACTAAAATAAAGTAAACGAACGGCGAACTTCACAGAAACTTCGTAACCCGCTCAAATACTAAACCCAGCCCACCACATACCATTTTTCCTCGTAATCCTTTTGACTACACGCCTCTCTGGTCAAAGTCTTATTAATCCTCCTCTCTTCCTCTAGGGTTTGTTTTTCGTTTTTCTCTCCCAACAAACCCTGCCCAATTCCCCCCTCTCTCTCTTTTTTATTTATTTATTTTTGGTATTTTCATTCCAATTTCGCTATTCCCTTCGTGGGTTTTTTTTTGTTTATTTCGTGAATTGTTTCGGGATTTGAAGATGAAAGTGAGCGCCGATGATGTCTGGCCTCCCGGCTTCAGGTTTCACCCCACCGATGAGGAGCTGGTCGTGTACTATCTCAAGAGGAAGATCTGTAACCGAAAGATCAAGCTTGATATCATCCGTGAGACTGATGTTTATAAGTGGGATCCTGAAGAACTTCCTGGTATTTTTTTTTTTTAAGTTTTTATTTCGTTTTTTATTTTTTGTTCTTGTGGGTTTGTTTTAGTTTTATGGTTTGTTGGTTGGATCTTTTGATACGATTGATTATGAAATTTTGATCGCTGTGTGTGTTCATGAACGCGTTGACTTCGTTTTTGGTGTGTTTGGATCGTTTATTTATCTGGGTTTGTTTGCGTTGACTTTGTTTGTGGCGAAATTTAATTTAGGTTTTGTTTTTTTTTTATTTATCGATTTTGCTTATTTAGGTTATGTTTTAGATTTAATCGATTTTGAAGTATTGGGGTTTGAGTTTTGAGGCTGTTTGTTTTATTGATTGTTTTCCTTTTGGGATCTTTGATTTATAAGTTATCAATATTAAAAAAACTGGTAGATTGTATAGAGTCTTTGTTATATGATCCTAATGTTTAGGAATTGGTACGAGTTCGATTCAACTCGTATTGTCATTTGGTTTATTCATTGGTGTTGATTTAATTTGCTAATCGTTTGATGATGTAGTGAGAATCAGTGTTCAAATAAAGCGCCAGATATGTGGCAGTCGTCTATTGAATATTGATAGACACTGGTTTTGACTGTGAGTGTTCAATTGAGAGTTTTGGCTGTGAATGGTATTTGTTCGGTATGAGTCAAATATGTGATTGGTTAAACAATCAGTTTCTAACAACACATAAAATTGTTTTTTTCAGGGCAATCATTGTTGAAGACGGGGGATAGGCAGTGGTTCTTCTTCAGTCCAAGGGATAGGAAGTACCCTAATGGAGCAAGGTCAAATAGGGCAACTCGACTTGGGTATTGGAAAGCCACCGGAAAGGATCGCATCATAACATGTAATGCTCGTAATGTTGGAGTGAAGAAAACCCTTGTTTTCTATAGAGGCCGTGCACCAAACGGCGAGCGTACTGACTGGGTGATGCATGAGTATACCTTGGATGAAGAGGAACTCAAGAGGTGCCAGAATATACAGGTATGCAGCTTTTTTAGTTTCTTTTTTGTAAGTAATTTTTTTTTTCCTGTGAAAATATGTTTATTAATCTGGTTTTCCCTTCATATTACAGGATTATTATGCACTTTATAAGGTCTTCAAAAAAAGTGGACCTGGTCCTAAAAATGGTGAGCAATATGGGGCACCATTTAAAGAGGAAGAGTGGGTTGATGATGAAGTAGATGTTACCAAAGCTGTTGAACCAGATATTCCTGCAAAGCAGCTGAATGGAGGAGCTGATCCTGTTGATAGTGGGAGAGCTAATGATCAAGTGCCATCTATATTAGATGATCTTGATGAAGTTATAAGACAGTTCACCGACAATCCTGAACCACAAATCAATTATGGATATGAATTACCGGAGGTTGGTTATCTATCTGAATCACACATTTTATGCATTTTGTTGTATCAGCTTCTTTCTGTCATTAGCTCTTTGTCAATTTTGAACTAGTCTATTGTTTTTTTTTTTCTTTATGAAATTGATTTGTATATATATATATATGTGTGTGTGTGCGTAATTGATATATGTTATAATTTGATGTCATACAGGTTTTTGGTGAAGAAGAGGCGCAAAGTACTTTGCTAAACTCATCAGCTAGGGAAGTTATCTGTCCTCAGCAGGATAGAGTGTGTGATGAGCCGGCAAGCTTTGATTTCACCCGGTCAGCTTCATCTAATTTGCAACTGTATGAGGCATCTGAGGTCACATCTGCTCCTCCCCATAATTCTGAGCAGGTATTAGAGCTATGCGAGGAGGATTTCCTGGAAATGGATGATCTGATTGGTCCTGAACCTACTGTTTCTGCTGTCGAGAAACCGGTGGAGAACTTGCAGTTTGATGAGTTCGATGGATTGAGTGAGCTTGAACTGTACCATGATGCAGCCATGTTTCTTAATGACATGGGGCCTGTTCATCAGGAAATGAGTGTGCTGGGGAATGATGTGCTAAACCAGGTGGATCGTCAGTTCCAACCTAATTCTCTGGTAGATCAAGCGGATCAGCAGCTGCAACAAAATTTTGCAATAAACCAGGTTGATTACCAATTCCAGTCCGATTCACTGGTAAACCTTCTGGAGCATCAAGTGCAACCATATTTCATGGTAAACCAGGTGGATTACCAGTTGCAGTCTGGTTCATCTGGCACAGATCACACCAGCACTCAACCATGGATGCAGCAGCTACATAGTAATATTTTTACTCCAGCAGAATCAAATCAGGGGATTCTGTACCCCGCAACTTCAGGTAATAAAAGCAATGTGGATGTTGGTGATGATATATTTGTTCATCTACCACCGAGTGTACTCTTTTACTGAGTTGTGTTCTTGTTTTGGACAAAGTTGCTGTCTCCTTAGCCCATCCACGCAGAGCTCTTGATCAGATGGATGGTTTGGTTGACATGCCAATTAGTCCACATGGCAAAAAGCCTTGTAAATGGAACTTGAGCCAGCATCAAGAGCTCTTCTGATTCAAGTATTTCTTCATATATTACGAACATTAGTGTGATTGTAGTATAGGTTTTTGCTAATTCTGCAGTTCCTCCGACTTTTTAGGTACTGCACAAGAATTTACACAACCTCTAGCTGAAGCAAATCAAACTCAAAATGGCCAAGAGGGTGGTGGAGGTGCATCAGGTTGGTTTTCTTCCTCTTTGTGGGCTTTTGTGGAGTCAGTACCTACCACTCCCGCTTCGGCGTCAGAGACTCCTTTGGTAAACCGGGCGTTTGAGCGAATGTCTAGCTTTAGCAGAGTAAGATTAAATGCTAGAAACACCAATGTTGCAGGACGTGATAGCACTGTAACAAGAAGGCAAGCAGGTAGTAGTAGAGGATTCTTAATTTTATCCATTCTCGGTGTATTGTGTGCTATCTTATGGATGTTAATGGGAAGTGTGAGAGTCCTGGGGAGATGCATATTCTCCTCTTAATATTATGTAAATTGGGAAGAAAAAAAAAGGAAAAAAAAGCATCTTTTTTCTGCTAATGTTGTTAGGTCAGGTTGCTGGATAGTGGATTCATTCATGTGAATTCTTGAATGCGAAGGATGAAGTTTTGTCTATCTAGAAATATATGGGAGGCTGACAAATGATATAATTTAAAATGTGTAATATATTTCATATTTGCGGTTAATCTATAATTCTATATCTACTTTGATGAATATTCACCTTTGGCATTAATAATTTCATGCAATTTAATAATGAGTGTAAAATGGATGAATTTCATTATGTGGGTCATTGTATTAAAACCCGGCCCGGAGGACAACCTGTTTTGCTGTTCGGGTTATGGGTCAACTGGTTTTGGATCAATGACACTTATGACCATCAATGGTACAATGACAATTATGACAATCAATGATAAAGCAATAATTTTATTTTTAAAAAATTACATACTAATCTCTTAAATTTTAATATATTATAAAAAATTTCCTAACAAGATTTAACTAGTCCTTAATATTTTGATTTATTTAAAAAATACCCCAAAAAAATGAACAATTAATCCCTAACCTTTAGACATATCTTTAAAACACCTTTATAAAATTATAAATTAACCTTTATAATTTTGAAATATTACAAAATCCCCTTAAGACCTGATCTGAATTGGAGAAGCTGTCGGGTCTCAATCAGACCGGTCTGGTTTTTAAAACAGAGTGTTTTGATGAAGTCAAAAAAATATAAGAGATTCAAGATAAAGGGACAAAATTATGAAAGATTTTAAGGTTTGAGATTTTTACATAATAATCATCATTAAGTGATTTAATGATAAATGAGCAAAGGGATTTAACATGAGTTCTTGAATTCAAGATCTTCAGGCACTAATAGGGGTGGTTATTAAGGGGATTTATTGAATTGTTCACTTCAAGGTTTTGGGGATTAATTGAGATGCTGTAAATTGATCCGGATATTTTCAAACCCAATCACCAAAAAAAAAAAAAAAAAAAAAAAGATTTCTACATTGTTAAAACAAAGTTTTCCTTTGTATTTAGGCAATATTATAGATCAAACGAAATGAAATATAAGCATGAGTTAAAAGAAAAACATTTTGTCTTTCTCTTAATGAATCTAATTTTCGGTATTTTGATTTTTTAGTATTTAAGATTTTTTTTATATATGAAAAGATGATAACACAAAACAAATTGTGACTTCAAAATAAAACATTGATGAAAACTTACTAAAATCTCATTATAACTTATTTGAACATCGTTAAATTCTTTTTATTATCTTGTATCACCTTAAAAGGAGATGTAGATTTTATTAAATTTTAAGTAAAATTTAAATAATATTAGGGGTAATTGTAAAACTAAATAGAGTTAAAAAAGTAATTTAAAATATAATTTTTTAAATTAATTTGGACCTTAAAAAGTTCAGGGACAGTTTGAAGCTGGTCCCTTTAACCTTATTATTTAAAATTAAACCCAAAGCCGATCACCCGGTACCATAACCGGGTAGGTACTGTAGTGCGCCCCTTTCTTCGAAACTCATTTTCTTCGCGAGACGGATGCGAACTCCCACAAAACAATTCAATTCTCGGANATTAAAAAAAAAAAAAAAGTAAGAACACAAAATCTATTAAATGGTCATATACTTCACAAACCAAATAGACTTATGTTGGGCCTTTTCATCCATTAAGCCCACAACCAAAAAAAGCCCAAAATCAAATAAAGAAAATAAAATTGAATGGTTGAAGAAACAATAAGTTATCAATAGATCACAATGGCAACCTAAACCCCATTGACTGTGTTTGTTTTATTATTTTGATTATTATTTTTTTAAAAGTTGAGTTGGGTTGTTATTATAAGGATAAAATTTGAAAATTAACAAAAACGCGTCCTAAGTTTGTTAATTTAACTAAATACCTTCTATAATAAAACATTGAAAATTAACAAAAATACCTCCACCCATCCATTAAATATTGGCAGTCGGCCATCACTACCGGAGGGTGATCGAGGGGTATTTTTATTAATTTTTAATGTTTTATTGTAGAGAGTGTTTAACTAAATTAACAAACCTAAGAGGTTTAAAAATAGTTGAATAGAATATGATTGAATTTTGATAATAGGGAAATAAATATATATTTTGGGTAGGATAGAGAAACAACACAGCCATTTGGGCCCCTTTGGTTCACTATTTTTACCCTGTCCTATCCAACTACACATTTGTTTCAATATTCAACATTCTCTTCAAAATACAATACTCAAAATATTTAGATTATTTTAATCCCTTGGGTTTGTTAATTTAACTAAACACCCCCAATAATAAAAGTTTATAAATTGATAATAACACCCCCACCAACCCACATTTGCTAAATTTTGACCACCACCGTCAGAAGGTGGCTGGAATTTGCCATAATGGCGTACTATTGGTGTCGATATGACATTTTCTGGCTAGATCTACGGTTGCCAGATCTGGCCAGAGTTTTTTGTCGTTAACGACGACCATATCTTAGCCGTCGTTTGACTGTCAACGACGACCAAAAGATCTAGCCAGATTTGGCCGTCGGTCATAGATCTAGCCTTATCAGTGCACTACCGGTCATATCCAATCAGTAGTGCGCTATTACAGTAGATTTTGGCCACCTTCTTACGGTGGTGGCTAGAATATGGCAAATATAGGTAGGTGGGGATGTTTTTTTTAATTTATAAACTTTTATTGTTGGGGTTATTTAGTAAAATTAACAAATCTCGAGGGTTAAAAATAATCTAAATATTTTTAGAAAATGCTGATTAAAAATGTAAAAAAAACTTTTCATAATACTGCTCAACTCAACTTTTTTCAAAAGACAATTTTAAAAACTCTCAAAATAGTAAACCAAGCCAAATTATTTCTATTGAAGTGGATAAGAAAAAGAAAAAGTAATTAAATAAAAAAGATATTCCATTTGTTTGTTAATAAGAAATGTTGATTATGTGTTAAGGCTCTAAAGTGGTTGGTTGAATTATTTGATTAGTCAAAGATAAGAGAGATTATTATTTTAATTTGAAACTTTTGACTGTTTCTTCAAACTTAATGTCTAAGATTAAAAGTATATTCAAGAGGCAATTTCCCTTTGTACAAATGATGTAAGAAAAGTGACGTCACTTTACCCACAATTATCAATGACAATACAATATAATATTCCTTTTTTTTTTTTTGTTTGCTCTTTTAATAAACCAAACCAGTTTGACTGAATACTTACCCACTTGAGACTTTTGAAACCTAAGAAATAAATAATAATATAATATCATTAACCATACTAATATTATGACCCATTAAATAAGGAAGTGTAACGCTATTAAACTCTATGAAAGAACTTAAATTTATTTTATTTTATTATTTTAAACATATCAAGGTGACTTTTTTTTTTTGACATATTTTAAGAAAAAAGTATTTTTCTTTTAAATTCAGTAACTTGATTGAAATTTGAAAGAAAAAAAAAAATCAATATGGGTCTTATATTGTAGTAAGTAATAAATAATGATTCTATATACGAAGAAATAATATTTTTTTTTAAATGGCGTATTTAGTTTTAAATAGCAACTTACTATTTCAAGTTATTTTCTTACCATAATCCAATAACATCTTGTTAGTCATATTATGAAATCTACCAAATTAGGTACATATAAATTATTCTGAAAAAATATTAAAAGAAACAATGTACAAGTCATTCGTAAATTTATAATAAAATCACATGCATATTTATTATTTGAATGTCGTATTTAATATTCTTATGTTGATTAATTTCGAAATATAAGAAAACCATAATATATGTTTTGTATTAAGAGTTAATGAACAAATATATGCGCGTACATAAATTTTTATTAGCAATACAATCAAAAAGTGGCAAAATAGTTCTATTATATATCTTTTTTATTTAAGAACTCTCTTAGACAAAATACCTATGATATTCATAAAATGGCACCCACTCAAATCAGTGCAACATAATATATATAAATATTAATCAATAACACTAATCATGAATTAAAAAAAAAAATCAAGGCATGCAAAACCTTATATATCAATTTAAAAACGACCAATCATATTAATTATAAAGATAAATAAAGAAAAAAAATCATTTGTAAATAGTTGTATCTTGTGTGATGTATGCTGGAGTATTCTCTTTCATCGTTCTCTTGTTGATCTTTCACTCTTTGTGAATCGCGTACAAAAATAAAGATTTATATTAGTTTTATTACAAGAGTTTGTTAGTTCGAGGGTACGTTTTCGTATGACCTTCTAATGGAACTTATTAGAGGAGAGTTATTATTGTAGAGTTTACTACAAATTTATTATTGCTTGCTTAAATTATTAATAAAATGCTTTATTATATAGTCAAATTTATAAATAAATAAAAAGTATAGGGATATTTTTGAAATTTTAATATTTAAATAAGTTCAAAAGAGTTTATAGAAGCTTAAATTATGAACTTTTCATAATATACGAAGAATAGTTTATTTAAATTTCATAAGTATTTTGAGATATAACCAACAACGTAAAAATATTTAAAAAAGTGTTTATATAAAGTTTTTATGGTTAGTAAATAAGTTAACCAAACATACTCTTGTTTATCATAAGTATTAAAAGAGAGTTAAACAGTAAGAATTTATTCATTTTTTCCCACATGAGATCATTTAGATAACTCATCTTTTCCGTTCAAAAAGTATCAATTCTCCCTATAAGGGGTTTTTATAATTGTTTAGGGGTTTTTTTGTAATAATGGATGTATTTTTAATATTTTTAACTCACAGGGGGAAAATGATATAGGAAGAGAGTGTTGGGAGTGATTTTACTTTAGATTTGCACTTCTCACGATTAACCTATCCACACATAATCTCAGCTACTCACTAGCTACCCAACCAAACCCGCCCCACTAAAAAAAGTAAACGAACGGCGAACTTCACAGAAACTTCGTAACCCGCTCAAATATAAACCAGCCCCACACATACCATTTTTCCTGTAATCCTTTGACTACAAACTCTCTGGTCAAATCTTATTAATCCCCTCTCTTTCTAGGGTTTGTTTTTCGTTTTTCTCTCCCAAACAACTGCCACTTCCCCCCTCTCTCTTTTTTATTTATTATTTTTGGTATTTTCATTCAATTCGCTATTCCTTCGTGGGTTTTTTTTTGTTTATTTCGTGAATTGTTTCGGGATTTGAAGATGAAAGTGAGCGCCGATGATGTCGGCCTCCCGGCTTCAGGTTTCAACCCACCGATGAGGAGCTGGTCGGTGTACTATCTCAAGAGGAAGATCTGTAACCGAAGTCAAGCTTGATATCATCCGTGAGAACTGATGTTTATAAGTGGGATCCTGAAGAACTCCTGGTATTTTTTTTTTTTAAGTTTTTATTTCGTTTTTTATTTTTGTTTCTGGGGTTTGTTTTGTTTTATGGTTGTTGGTTGGATCTTTTGATACGATTGATTATGAAATTTTGATCGTGTGTGTGTTCAAACGCGTTGACTTCGTTTTGGTTGGTGTTGGATCGTTTATTTATCTGGGTTTGTTGCGTTGACTTGTTTGTGGCAAATTAATTTAGGTTTTGTTTTTTTTTTTTATGATTTTGCTATTTAGGTTATGTTTTAGATTTAATCGATTTTGAAGTATTGGGGTTTGAGTTTTGAGGCTGTTTGTTTATTGATGTTTCCTTTTGGGATCTTGATTTATAAGTTATCATATTAAAAAAACTGGTAGATTGTATAGAGTCTTGTTATATGATCCTAATGTTTAGGAATTGGTGCGAGTCGATAACTCGTATTGTCATTTGGTTATTCATTGGTGTTGATTTAATTTGCTATCGTTGATGATGTAGGAGAATCAGTTCAAAAAAGCGCCAGATATGTGGCAGTCGTCTATTGAATATTGATAGACACTGGTTGACTGTGAGTGTTCAATTGAGAGTTTGGCTGTGAATGGTATTTGTTCGGTATGAGTCAATATGTGATTGGTTAAACAATCAGTTTTCTAAAACATAAAATGTTTTTTCAGGGCAATCATTGTTGAAGACGGGGATAGCAGTGTGTCTTCTTCAGTCCAAGGGATAGGAAGTACCCTAATGGAGCAAGGTCAAATAGGGCAACTGACTTGGGTATTGGAAAGCCACCGGAAAGGATCGCATCATAACATGTAATGCTCGTAATGTTGGAGTGAAGAAAACCCTTGTTTCTATAGAGGTGCACCAAACGGCGAGCGTACTGACTGGGTGATGCATGAGTATACCTTGGATGAAGAGGAACTCAAGAGGTGCCAGAATATACAGGTATGCAGCTTTTTTAGTTTCTTTTTGTAAGTAATTTTTTTTTCCTGTGAAAATATGTTTATTAATCTGGTTTTCCCTTCATATTACAGGATTATTATGCACTTTATAAGGTCTTCAAAAAAAGTGGACCTGGTCCTAAAAATGGTGAGCATATGGGGCACCATTTAAAGAGGAGAGTGGGTTGATGATGAAGTAGATGTTACCAAAGCTGTAACCAGATATTCCTGCAAAGCAGTGAATGGAGGAGATCCTGTTGATAGTGGGAGAGCTAATGATCAAGTCCATCTATATTAGATGATTGAGAAGTTATAAGACAGTTCACGACAATCCTGAACCACAAATCAATATGGATATGAATTACCGGAGGTTGGTTATCTATTGAATCACACATTTTGTGCATTTTGTTGTATCAGCTTCTTTCTGTCATTAGCTCTTTGTCAATGTAACTAGTCTATGTTTTTTGTTTTTTTTTTTTTTAATGAAATTGATTGTATATATGCGCATAATGTATATATGTTATAATTTGATGTCATACAGGTTTTGGGTGAAGAAGAGGCGCAAAGTACTTTGCTAAACTCATCAGTAGGGAAGTTATCTGTCCTCAGCAGGATAGAGTGTGTGATGAGCCGGCAAGCTTTGATTTCACCCGGTCAGCTTCATCTAATGCAACTGTATGAGGCATCTGAGGTCACATCTGCTCCTCCCCATAATTCTGAGCAGGTATTAGAGCTATGCGAGGAGGTTTCTGGAAATGGATGATCTGATTGGTCCTGAACTCTGTTTCTGCTGTCGAGAAACCGGTGGAGAACTTGCAGTGATGATGTCGATGGATTGAGTGAGCTTGAACTGTACCATGATGCAGCCATGTTTCTTAATGACATGGGGCCTGTTCATCAGGAATGGATGTGCTGGTGGAAGTGTGCTAACCAGGTGGATCGTCAGTTCCAACTAATTCTCTGGTAGATAAGCGGTCAGCAGCTGCAACAAAATTTGCAATAACCAGGGATTACCAATTCCAGTCCATTCACTGGTAAACCTTGGAGCATCAAGTGCAACATATTCATGGTAACCAGGTGGATTACCAGTTGCAGTTGGTTCATTGGCACAGATCACACCAGCACTCAACCATGGATGCAGCAGCTACATAGTAATATTTTACTCCAGCAGAATCAAACAGGGGATTCTGCACCCGCAACTTCAGGTAATAAAAGCAATGTGGATGTTGGTGATGATATATTTGTTCATCTACCAACGAGTGTACTTTACTGAGTTGTGTTCTTGTTTTGGACAAGTTGCTGTCTCCTTAGCCCATCCACGAGAGCCTTGATCAGAGGATGGTTTGGTGACATGCCAATAGTCCACATGGCAAAAGCCTTGTAAATGGAACTTGAGCCAGCATCAAGAGCTCTTCTGATTCAAGTATTTCTCATATATTACGAACATTAGTGATTGTAGTATAGGTTTTTGCTAATTCTGCAGTTCCCGACTTTTTAGGTACTGCACAAGAATTTACCAAACTAGGTGAGCAAATCAAACTCAAAATGGCCAAGAGGGGGGTGGAGGTGCATAGGTTGGTTTTCTTCCTCTTTGGGGGCTTTGTGGAGTCAGTACCTACCACTCCCGCTTCGGCGTCAGAGACTCCTTTGGTAAACCGGGCGTTTGAGCGAATGTCGCTTTAGCAGAGTAAGATTAAATGCTAGAAACACCAATGTTGCAGGAGTGAAGCACTGTAACAAGAAGGCAAGCAGGTAGTAGTAGAGGATTCTTAATTTTATCCATTCTCGGTGTATTGTGTGCTATCTTATGGATGTTAATGGGAGTGTGAGATCCTGGGGAGATGCATATCTCTCCTTAATATTATGTAAATTGGGAAGAAAAAAAAGGAAAAAAAAGCATTTTTTTCTGCTAATGTTGTTAGGGCAGGTTGCTGGATAGTGGATTCATTCATGTGAATTCTTGAATGCGAAGGATGAAGTTTGTCTATCTAGAAAATATAGGGAGGCTGACAAATGTATAATTTAAAATGTGTAATATATCATATTTGCGGTTAATCTATAATTCTATATCTACTTTGATGAATATTCACCTTTGGCATTAATAATTTCATGCAATTTAATAATGATGTAAATGGATGAATTTCATTATGGGGTCATTGTATTAAAACCCGGCCCGGAGAAAACCGTTTTGTGTTCGGGTATGGGTCAACTGGTTTTGGATTGCACTTATGACCACAATGTACAATAAAATATGACAATCAATGATAAGCAATAATTTTATTTTAAAAAATTACATATAATCTCTTAAATTTAATATATTATAAAAATTTCTCTAAAGATTAACTAGTCCTTAATATTTATTTATTTAAAAATACCCCAAAAAATAACAATAATCCCTAACCTTTGATATATCTTAAAACACCTTTATAAAATTATAAATAACCTTTATAATTTTAAATATTACAAAATCCCTTAGACCTGACTGAATTGGAGAAGTGTCTGGGTCTCTCGACGGTCTGGTTTTTAAAACAGAGTGTTTTGATGAAGTCAAAAAAATATAAGAGATTCAATAAAGGGAACAAATTATGAAAGATTTTAAGGTTTGAGATTTTGCATAATAATCATCATTAAGTGATTTAGGTAAATGAGCAAAGGGATTAACAGAGTTCTGAATTAAATCTTAGGCACTAATGGGGTGGTTATTAAGGGATTATTGAATTTCACTTCAAGGTTTGGGATTAATTGAGATGCTGTAAATGATCGGTATTTTCAAACCCAATCACCAAAAAAAAAAAAAAAAAAAAAGATTTCTACATTGTTAAAACAAATTTCCTTTGATTAGGCAATATATAGATCAAACGAATGAAATATAAGCATGAGTTAAAGAAAAACATTTTCTCTTCTCTTAATGAATCAATTTTCGGTATTTGATTTTTATATTTAAGATTTTTTTTTATATAGAAAAGATGATAACACAAACAATTGTGACTTCAAAATAAAAATTGAGAAAACTTACTAAAATCATTAATACTATTTGCATCGTTAATTCTTTTTATTATCTTGTATCACCTTAAAAGAGATGTAGATTTTATTAAATTTTAAGTAAAATTAAATAATATTGGGTAATTGTAAAACTAAATAGAGTTAAAAAAGAATTTAAAATATAATTTTTTAAAAATTTGGACCTTAAAAAGTTCAGGGACAATTAAGTGCTCCTTTAATATATTTAAAATTAAACCCAAAGCCGATCACCGGTACCATAACCGGGTAGGTACTGTAGTGAGCCCCTTTCTTCGAAACTCATTTTCTTCGCGAGACGGATGCGAACTCCCACAAAACAATTCAATTCTCGGAATAAATTATCGAATCAAAATAAAAATCGATAAGGGTTTCCGATAGTCATTTGATTCCGCCGGAACCGGAAGCGGCACGATACGAACCGAAACAAAACCCGGATTCTTCCATTCCATTTTTTTTTTTTTTTTATTGGTGATAAAGGGCGAGAGAACCTATCTTCTTCTTTTGAATATTTTCTCTATTCTAAACTGACTCTCCAAACCGAAGAATCTCGCGATATTTCGTCTTCCGAAAGAGAATTATAATTCAACAATTTATACGCAGAATTTAATTTTTGTTCATTCAAACTTATACAACGACATCCTATTAGCGATGTGCGGGAGGAAGAAGATGAAGCAACGGAGCTTCAGCTTCAACTTCTTCGTCTCTTGTTAACTTCATGGCCTCTTCTCAGCATCGTTGCGTCTTTGGTAGTTTCACTCTACCACACCATTAATTGCGAATTATTTGAATTTGAATTCGATTTTGAAAGCAATCGAAGTCTTTTTATAATTTTTTGTTTTTGATTTGTGGTGACAGTTGGAAACATACCTTATGATGCAACTGAGGAGCAGCTTATAGAAATCTGCAGAGAGGTTGGTCCTGTTGTGTCGTTCAGGTCAGTTACAAAAGGAAGTTTGTTTCAATAAAGAACCCTAGAATTATAACTCTTTTATGTAATTTCGAGTTCACAATTTAGTTTATTGATGAGAAATCTTTGAGGAATTTTGAGTTTCAATCTTTGTAGAGTTGATATTTATCTATGTACAATTTTCGAATAATTGTTGTTTGATTATTCTGTTTTGTATAGTTGTATCTCAATTTTGGTCATTTTATTTTATATTTCAGATTAGTTCTTGATAGAGAAACGGGAAAACCAAAAGGCTATGGGTTCTGTGAGTATAAGGATGAAGAGACGGCTTTAAGTGCTCGTCGTAATCTTCATGGTTATGAGATTAATGGAAGGCAATTACGTGTTGATTTTGCTGAAAATGATAAAGGGGCCGACAGAAATCGAGAGCAGGTGATAGTCGTATGTCTAGGCTACTAGTTCTTTTTTCTTTATCTTCAAAATTTTAACCAATTCGTGTAGTTGACATTGTCTGAGTTTTTATGTTTCTGCTGGTACTAGACTCAATCTTTGTTTGTGGACTAGGAGATAGTAGATAGTGCATATATCAGTTGCTATAACTGGAAGTAGTTGTTGCAGTTGTTAATTTTTTCCATTTTGACAACCTTCTTAGAAATATTAAGACGTATGTTTCAACTCCAGAATATTTCACTTTAAGTGTTTTTAATGATATTTTGTTTTAATGTATGAGATACTTCTGCGAAGTTTGGCAATATATAGGTATAGGCACTTAAACACTATTGTTTTTTATTTAATAATTTTGCAATGCTATTCAACATTGGAGCGCGTTTTTGTTGCTCTGTGAACTGGTATATTAGAAAATGATCACAAACATAAGTTATATTAAGCCTTTCTGTTAGGATCCACATTGGAAGGGAAAGGGGTGGGCATGTGGGTTATAATGGCTTGGGCACCCTCTCTTGGCAAGCCGGTTTTCCTAGGAGAGTTCTACCCAAGCCTATGAAAGACCCATGACCCAATCTAATTGTTGAGTTCTTGGAGTGAGTTCCTATCAATTCGTATCAGAGCATGATCTTGCGCCTATGTGGCAGCGCACTCGTGGCAGGTTGACTTTGGGCTCGGGCTGCTACCTCGAGAAAGAGCATAGAGGCCCAAGGGAAAGAGGATCTGCTTAGTCACTCAAGGGGTAAAGAGGCTAATGTGAACGTCGCTTGCGGAAGCATGGTGGAATGTTAGAATCCCACATTGGAAGGGAAAAGGGTGGGTATGTGGGTTATAAGAGTTTGGGCTCCCTCCCTTCGCAAGCCAGTTTTCCTAGGAGAGTTCTACTCAAGCCCATGAAAGACTCATGACCCAACCCAATTGTTGAGGTATTGGGGTGGGTTCCTATCACTCTCCTCTAGGAAACGAATTTCCTTGTCATCATGTACTTAGACACTAATTATCTCATTCTGTTCTGAAGGCTAGGCCTAATCTTATGCATAGAGGTATTATACTACATTTATAATATGGTCCATCAGTCACAATGACCCTGAGATAGTTATAAAGATGTACTCGTTAGCATTTTGAACTGTTTGCAACATATCTGTATTGACCTAAGTGTTAGTTTCAACTAGTGATGTACTGTAGAAATCAAGTGATGGAGAATGATTGGCATTGGATCCTAAATTCATGAGTAGATATAGAAGTATTTACCTCGTGTATATGGTATATTTTATGTTTACCGAGATCAAGGTTATTGCAGTTTCTCAAACACTAAATTTTGACTTGTGTCAAATGGGCCAAGTTCTGGCAGCTGAATTTGTTGGCTATACTAAGCTTGGGAGTTGGGTCTTTCAATTTTGGCCAATAATTTGTACTTTTGTTGGTAATAATTGTTTGTCTTCTCTTGCAGGGTCGGGGTGGACCTGGACTGGCTGTGAATGTTGGTTAGTTTCTCTTATTCAAAATAACTTTTTATACACTTGATTTATCTTCTTATGTGAATAGAACCTAAATTTTCTTGTTTTTCATTTTTCTTATTTTAATTTTTGTGGATACATTACAGAACCTCAGAAACAAATAGGGGGCCCTGCGATCCATGGGGATTCTGTTCCTCATCAGCCAATTGGTCTCCACTTAGCTATAACTGCGGCAACAGTTATGACAGGAGCACTAGGTGGTGCTCAGGTTGGTATACAGTCAAATCAAAATGGCGTGCAGAGTCAGTTGGCATCAGCTAATGATCCCTTAACTCTTCATCTGGCTAAAATGTCGAGGAGTCAGCTGAATGACATTATGTCTGAGCTGAAGGTATGCATTTAGCTAAGTTTATATATTCTTACTGGATTACTTTTGTTGTTGGTATTTAAATACATTGTCTGATGGCAGTTAATGGCCTCTCAAAACAAGGAACTATCTCGTCAGCTATTGCTCGCGAAACCTCAGTTGCTGAAAGCTCTTTTCCAGGTGCTTATAAATGCCATCCCTATATTTTCTTGATTTTTACCATTCTTCCTTGATAAGCTGGACTGCTGGAGCTGTTAGACCAACTATAGGTGAAAATGAAATGGAATTATGGCTATAAATGGTGCCTGGTTGACTGAAATAAATGGCTTGAATAGAGAAGCAGTTTGAGACTAAAAGGTGACCTTTTTTCCTGGTGAACCTCGATGATTGAGGGAACACTTACTTAAAGGGGAAAGGTAAAAGGTATGCCTAGTAACACAGGTTGGGGGTGATAGGTAACAGACTTACCCTTAAAAAGATTTAATTGCATCACTTAAACGAACATACTTTGAACACATATTGAGAAAATATGGTTACACTTGAATTATATGTTGAAAAAATATACTACTGGGGCCTAACACACCGATGAAACCTTAGATTTTGCTAATTTTCCTTAATAGTGGCTTTTAGATTAATTGAAGATAATTAGATTCTGTTTGCACATCAAGCTTTGATTTTTTTGAAAGTTGATGATTGTGTCTTATTGTTCTTTTCGGGCCAGTCCACCTCTCAGATCCTATGATTTTTTGTTTCTCAAATCCAATGGGTGATGAAATATAACCAGTTTTACTTGTGATTGGATTGTGTTTTGGTATGTTCTTTATTGTTTTTTCAATATTGCTGTGGCATAATTTACAAACAACTTGATCTTAGAAATTTGTCTAACTCTGGTTGCAGGCACAAATAATGCTAGGAATGGTGTCTTCTCAAGTGGTTTGTTTCATCATCTAAAAGATAGTCTTATTACTTGTTTAGAACTTTGTGATTATGTCATGTTAAGACTACTAGTTTCTTTTGCATTGTGCAGTTGATGCCAAATCTTCGACAAGGTCACCCTGTGCAGCCTTCATTACAAGACGGTCAGCAGCAAGCTGTTCGGCTCCCTGGGCTGCCCCCACTTGCACAGAAGGTGCAGTTGATGCCCAAAGTGCAAGACGGTCAAGTGTCGGCTATGTCTCAGCATTCTTTGCTTAATAACCAGTTTTCTGCACCCCTACAGACTACTACTATGCATCTTCAAACTCAGCTTTCACAACATGCCAAGAACCAATCTCTACAGCAAACTGCATTGCCTGGGCAGCCTGGTGTTCCAACACTCTCTTCAATGCACCCGTCAGTTAGACCTGAAATTCAGGTGGCAAATTCCTCTTCCTTGAGCCAGCAACTACAACCTTATTCGCTGGAAAACCCAGTACAGGTTACAGCTGCCAGTTTAGGGAATAAACATTGGCTAAATATTCCAAATTCAGCCATACGGCCCCCTCTTGTGCCTCGCCTCCCATCATTGGATGCTGGCTTCCAGGTGACTAAGTTTCCTAGTACTTCTTACTATTCACTATAGAAAATATGGTCAATGTGTGTCTTAAAAGGGAGTTGCTATTTATATTTGGGGTCACAATGCAGAATATATGTTCTTCTACCTCGGCTTTTATTTGCAAATAAGGTTCCTAATTGTTTCCCCTCCTCTGATGTGTAGACCTTATCAGAAATAAGGAATAGAGGGGATGGTAGATTAAAGTGAGCAAGTGCATAGGCCAATGGAATTACTACAAATGGTTAAGTTAAACTGAATCGTAATGCTTTTTGTTATTGCTTCTAACATTTGTAAAAATATGCTTACAGCTCTCTCTCTCCCCTTCTCTCTATCTTTTAACGTCTTAGTGAGGTAATAGCTTTCCATGGAGCAAATATACATACTCTCATATGTGAATTGCAACCGCTTGGCCATTCTTTTACTCTTCTAATGGCCAATTATCTTGTTGGACTTAAGTAGAAAAACAATTTGTTTCGCAGCTACTCCACTGTTTCTTGATAGCGTTAAAATGCATGTGTTATGAAATCTAACTTCCTTGTTTTAACAGCCTGGCCCCTCAACATCATCAGGCATTGTACAGACAGTTAGCAAAGATGCTGATAGGTCTGGTAGACTTACCGATGATGCAACCTGGGTGCGCGGTAATAATGCATATTTGAGCATGCCTGTGGGTGTAGCCGAGAGAACAAGCAGGCTTAATGATTCTTCAGAAATGATACATCGCCCTTCAAAATTGCTGAAAGTGGATGATCGAAGCAGTACTGCTTTGTCAATGGGGGCTTTGAATGCATCCAAAACCACTGGCTCTGGGCCATCCCAAGCATCTGGAGCTGGTTTAGCGCCTGTAAATCCAATTCCTGAAGTAGAAGAGGTGAAAAGTTCTGAGAATCAAATTTCTCAGGTAACATGTCTCGATGATAATATTAATAAGTCGCAACCATCTACTTGTCAGTTTCTTGTTGATGAATTATCTACTTTAGTTATTTCTGCTAGCAAACATGTATATATTGTTGTTTTGATTGTGACTTCTATTCGTTGATGAATATTGACTTCTTTGGAAATTGGTGGGCAACTTGTTTTAGAGAGAAAATTGTTTATAGTGTTATTTGATCACATAAATAAGTTAGATTATATGTTGAGATATCTAGCTAGATTATAAGATCAAGATAGGTAGAAAATCTGTTGATAATTTTTTTCTTCTTTAAACCATGAACAATGATTATGTTGCTAACTCTTTGCCATTGGATGATTATATCCATTGTGTTTTCAATTTGTTTTTGCAATTAAGCCATTGATATAGCAGATATTATACATATAGCATGTAGTATAATACTTTCTATTTCTCTCTCTTCTGATCTCATGTTGGACCGAAAAATGTTTCTGTGGACCTTATGGCCTCTCAACATCGTTTGTCTTTCTCAGTCGCAGCTTCCACCGGATGTAGAGTCTGCCTTACTGCAGCAAGTAATGAGTTTAACACCAGAGCAATTGAACTCATTGCCACTTGAACAGCGTCAACAAGTCATTCAGCTCCAACAGGCACTCCTGCAAAATCAGATGCAGCCATCTTAGCAGCGCCATTGTCAAGTGGATTGTAATATACCTCCAGCTCAAGTATTGACGTAACTGCAGGCTACTTTTTTAGTTTTCCTCAAAAGAAAAGCGCTTGCTATAGATTCGACAGAATACGAATGCTTGTACAATGATCGATCTTAAAATTATCATCATCTGCATTTGAGATGCAGGAGCATTATACCATTCATGTAACGTTTATAAGATTTGTCATTAGAATGAGAGAAAATTTTGTGTAACATTCCTACTTCCTGGACATTTTGAATTTTTCTTTGGCCTTGGATTAGCCTAGTGACTGTCTCGTTTGACATTTTTGTTCTTTAAGTATAGCTAATAAAGCAAGACTTAAGTTTTTTACCATATCATAAGCTTTTGGTTTATGTACGTGAACGCTTCTTGTTCTTTTATTTTATTATCTTACTTATAGTCTTAGATCGCATTTTGAAATCAATATATCAAAGATTGTATAGAGTAGATCCGTAAGTAGCATGATATTATTGGATGAACGAGTGGATGATGTAAGGTGTTCGTATAGTCATATCTATTATATATATATATATATTTTTTTTTTTTTAACTGTAATGTTTGATCTAAAAGTCTCTGGTGAGGTGGGAGTACATCCATTTCCTCAACCATATCCTTCTCACTTGTGTTTATTTTTAAAATTTAACAGTTGTGCTGGTTTTTAGGTGAAAAAATGAGTAAACAGACTTTTTTTCCACCCAAGGTTTGCCTTAATGACACTTGCCCATCCAAATTCTAAATATCATTTTTTCATCAAAAGTTTATATTTTGTAATGTCCAAAGCCAATTTAGGTGGTGAAAATTATCTCTGTCATCACCATTTGAATTTCCGATCTCTTCTTTATAAAATCTCTCTCACTCTAATACCTGATTTTTCGTCAATTGTTGGCCACCATAAAGTTAGGGTTATTTGTTCTTAGCTGATTTTCAACTTATTCCAGCAACAAATATTCAATCGGTCACCACCATTCGATCCATCGGTCTCTACTCTACAAACCTCCTTCTACTAACTCTTGGTAATTCACCAAATACCATTTGAGAAAGTGAAGTGTATTTTGGGTATTAACAAAATATAAACTTTGAGTGAGAAAATGATATTTTGAAACTTTTTGAGTGAAAAAGTATCATTAAGGGAAACTTGGGTGCGAAAAAGTCGTTTACTCGGAAAAAAGTATTATTAGATAGATGTACAAATAATGTGATGTATCTCTCGTTATTCATAAATCGGGTTTAGGCCAACAGAGCCAGGTTTTGGTCTAACCCAACATGGCAAACCCTCATATATGGATATGTAAAATGGGCCAGGAAGGTGAGTTCGTCTTTGGAGACCATTTTCTGGAATGGGTTCAAGCCATAAATTTCTTTACCTACATATCAAACGTGCAAACCTTGAAAAACTACGGTTTCGTTTGGTTCAAAATTTGGGGTTTTGAGAAAAGTTTTTTGAAAAAAGTTAAAAAAAAGTTGAATTGGGCGGGTATTACGAGGTAGGATGTATAAACTAATAAAATGCCCCCTATGTTTGTTTTTTTACAAAATACCCCCTATAATAAAACATTAAAAGTTAACAAAAATACCCCTAACCCACCCTCAAATACCCCCAGCTGGCCACCACCACCGGAGGTGGCCGGAGTCGTTTTATCGGCGCATGACCGGTTGGATCTTGCCAGTCATGCGCCGCTATGGCCTTTTCCGACCAGATCCACAGTGGATCTGGCCGGCAAAGGCCAGATCTACGGCCAAATCTGGCCGTCAACGGCCAAATCTGGCCGTATTTGCTCTCAACGACGGCCAACAAACGGTTGTCGTTGATGGTCAACGACGATTGTTTGTTGGCCGTCGTGACCAACTGTTACGGCCAAAGATCTGACTTTTTCCGGCTAGATCCACCATGGATCTGGCCAGAAAAGGCTAGATCAGCGCACTACCAGCCAGATTCAGCCGATAGTGCGCCATCCTACCAGATTTCGGCCATTTTCCGACGGTGGTGGCTGGAATCTGGTAAATGTGGATTGTTGGGGTGTTTTTGTAATTTTTTTAAAAATATTTAGGGGTATTTAATTAAATTAACAAATTTAGAGGGTTTCAAAAAAATTGAATAATATTGAAAGTAGTATTCCCAAAAATGAGAGTTTTTGGGTATTTTACTGTTTAACTTTTTTGGAAATACTAAGAGTAATATTCTCAATTTTGAACCAAACGAAGCTTACATGAACAAACGTATTGTTTTGATTTTATTTTAAGAGAATATTTTTCATGAAACAATTGACTAGTGTAGGCCGCACACAAAGTGACACTGATCTATATGCATTAGATATATGTTCGTGCAATCATGTGTGATTTTTGTAAATCATACGTACTGACTTAGTTTACTCACTTTAAAAGATTTATACCTATTTATCATACTAAAGACTTTCAAATGTTATCTTCAAACTTCTTTACTCAACTTATATTAATTTCCTTTTTTTTTTTTTTCTTTTTGTTTAGTTTTATATAGCCATCATTATGTAATGTAATGACTTCTTTCTAATAGTATATTGTATAACATATACTATAAAAACATACATAATTAAATCATGTATCTCCATGTTGGATGTTACATGTGACTTTTATAATTGTAAGATATTATACAAATAATACTATTTATATTGTTGAAAGTATATCCATTAATTCAATTTTATAAATTTAGTATAATTTCTTATAAGTAAAAAAAAAAAAAAAAATGCATAGAAAAATACCAAAAAGAGATAATAAATGTAATATATGGACACATGGTGTTTTATAATAATTGAAAAATGTTATAATTTTGGTGGTGTAATTACAATAAAATAAACTAAGAAGGACTGACACGTAAATGAACAGAATAAAGAGAATAAGAAGGACCAAAATGAGAAACTTTTATTAACTCTTCCTCACAATTTATAGCCATCCACCGCCCACCAAACCTATGATTCATTGCCTTTACAACATAAGCAGCTTATGTGACATTGACCTTTTGTTTGCATCAAAATGTTGCCAGCCTAACAATTAACCATTTGCTATATTGGGAATTTATTGATAGTCCTTCGCTCTGTATCCTGACATAGTTTTATTTAATACTTTTTTTTTTTGTGACCAGGAGTGTTCGGGCCAGTTTATACGCACCTCAACTAATCTTTCGAAGCTCTGAAATTGACAACCAAGTAAATTCTCTCAGTAACCAGCCCTATTAACAACCTAAGTTGATCAAACTTATGATCTTTTGAGTAATACACCTAAGAGTTCTAATTGACTGCTAAACTACACAATGGTGGTTAATACTTTTTTTTTTTTTTATCTTTGATACTTTGAATACAATTCTTTTTATTTCTTAAAAGCAATTTGGACATTACGAAGTAAAACTTATTGAAAATGGAGGACTAATAGGTTAAATTTCCACATAGATTTTGCAGGAAGTAGAGTCTCTATCAGGTGGTAGCTTAAAGGTGTAACCAAAGGCCATTCTTTTGTGTCTTGTATTTTGCAATGCAAACAAATTTCTTTCTGTTTCTACCAAAATTGGGAACATGTTTTACATGATGGATACAAGATTTTAAGATAACGTTTGAATACGTGAAATCATTTTATAGATCACATGTATCTAGGGCTGCAAACGAACCGAACAGTTCGCAAACAACTCGTTGTTCGTTCGATTACTGTTCGATAATGTTTGCGAACATTTATTTGCAAACAGTTCGATATTCGTTCGATAATATGTTCGATCGAGTTCGAACATGGGTTGTTCGTTCGATTATGTTTGCGAACATTATACGTTCGACTGATCCATCCATTCGCGAACAATCGTTCGATTGTTCGTTTGTTTATGTTCGAAAAACATGTTGTGCATTATTATTATTAATTTTTTTTTTCATTTTTATATTATGTTTGATTTAGTTTGGATGAATTTTTTAAATGCTAATCAATAATAAAATATTATGATACTTTTGTTTTTCTTATATATATAATATGTTTAGATTTTTTTTGTTTTTCCAAATGTCATCAATAATTAAATATATAAGTATATAGCATTGTAATTAAAAAGTAATAAATTATTATGATACATAGCATGACAAATTTAATAATATAATAGATTGTATAATCAAGTGATATATAATATAGTAAATCCAATAACATAATAGCTCCATATTTTTCCAAATGTAATCAATAATTAAATATTATAAAATAGCATTTCAATTAATAAATAATAAATATAGTATTGTGAGATCATATATTATAATAGACCCTCATTTCACTATGAATTTATGAGTATTGATACAAAATATATATGTAAACATTTAAAACATTTATAATAATTTATATAATGATAATAAATATATGATAACCTATAATTTTGGTAATTTCATAACAAATTAATATATATGTTTTGAATTTTCAATTTTTTTTTCTTTCTAGGTTCACACTATATACTATATAGTGGCATGTTCACTCCTTGGAATCCTTTTGGTTGTGTTGTAATGTTTATACAAAATGCAAATTCCTTTTATTTGTGTCATGTTTGATATGGAACTAAATTTGTTTTGAACGATTTATTGTTCTGTTTAATTTATTTTGAAGTTTTATTATTTATGATGGTTAGTTATTTTAATTTACTGAGTTTTTATTGATTTTTTTAAAATATAAATATATATAGAGAGTTGGTTTATTTTCAAATGTTGAATTAAATGGGTATGAATTATAAATTGTTGTATATTTGTTTTTTAAAGCATGAATTGGAAAGTTGGTGTATATTTTTTATTCGAACGAGTTATTCGAACATGTATTTACAAGTTATCGAACGAGTTATTCGAACGGGCATTTACAAATTATCGAACGAGTTATTCGAATAGGTAGTTACGAGTTAGTCGAACGAACACGAATGAGTTACGAACGAACACAAACGAGCTTTTTGTTAATCGAACGAACACAAACACACATCCTGTGTTTGTTCGAACACGAACACAAACACAAACACGAACAATCGAACAATCGAACAATCAAACATGCTTATCGAACGATTTTCGAACGGGCCTGTTCGTTCATGTTCGGTTCGATTGCAGGCCTACATGTATCTAAAGACTATACATGAACCGTACGAGATTTTAAGATATGTGTAGTGTAACGACACGTAAAATAACACTTATTCAAAATAATAAAATTGAATATTTTAAAAATGTCGGTATCATTTTTGTGATGCGGATAGCCGAATACTAAAAATGTACCTTAAAGTACGGACTCGACTAATGCAAACAAATTACGATCTTTGATTTTTTTTTTTTTTCTCTTTCAAGTAAAAATGAAAACATGTTTCATAGGACTTA